TGATATGAAGAATCTTGGGGGACTTGTCCTTGAGAACATGATCAGCGCATACATTAATACCACTGGTGCCTACAATTAAAATATTTAGGAAAACCCACCAAACAATATTTGGTATATACAGGAAAATTACTATTAAAATACAATGAATATCGCGCCCTCTTCCATTTAAACCTATTCAGAATACCCAGATTATATAATGCATTATAAATTAGTACGCGTAACTAATTACTTATTTAAGATGACGAAGGTAACATGCATGAAATTAACACTGAGGAGGTTGGTGAGTTAAGCCGCTAATGATAAAGAGCTTATTGTGCCGTCGTCACCGCGTCTACTTGTTTAATACTTGTTTTGGGGCTGCGAAATCTTCGTTAAATTATCACTTTAATATGTTTTAGTTGATTAATATATTTTTAAATATTTGCTGTATTATTATTAAATGATGGAATAGGTATAAAAAGTTCCACTGTGTGAAAATAATTATTATAAAAAATAACTTCTTGATCAACATAATAGTTTGTGTTATTAATTACCTGAAAGTAGGAAAAATACGTCAAACAAAATATAATAATATATTTACACTTATATTTTCGATTATCACTTACCATCTTGTATATGTATTAATAATCTTGTCAGTAAACAATATTGGTGTAAATACATCATAACAAGTGTTATTTGAAGTATTTTTGTAATTTCAAATAATTTTAGTGGGTTTAAAGGTGCTGGTTAGTTTATACGGAATAACCAAAGTATTTAAATGTTGTATAAACATGAACAAATATTCACCACCACCAACGTCTTTTCATCAAAGAGAGCATGGATTGTTTAAGAAATATTACTTATCACGCAGAAAACCAAATAATTCAAATCGTATCTGTTATCATAATAATTGGGCTCATTAAAATATTAATTTAAGAAAAATTCTAAATTTATTTAAGTTTTATAAGTAAATCAATTGATCGGAATGGTTATGATAAACCTAATGTAAGATGTTATCTCTTCCGTGAATTTAACGTACAAAATGTAAAGTGAATAAACACTTTCAGTCAAATATTTCTCCCTTATCTTGATCAACCTGTCTATAACAAGTGACAGTCTTATGCATTCAACGTGACAGTTCCATTTCGTACTGATAAGGGATGGAACATTTTAAAGTAATGTTTAAGGTGTTTTATATTGAATCTCGATAGAATAAATTTGGTTTCGTCATAACATTTTCTACATCCAGATTTTCCTTTTCATCAAACGCTGTTATCTTTTGCAGTATAACATGATTGGGTTAGGTTAGGTTAGGTGGCATTATTGGGTTGTTAATGAAACACCAAAAAAACAGTAACGCACTTACGAATTATTTAAAAACGTTAAATTAATGATCAGAACAGTTGAAAAAAAACTGGCCTTGAAGATAAAGTCAGAGAAAGTTCAAAGATACCAAGAGGGCACTAGACTTAGTCTCAAGTTTGTTGTTTGTGTAAGTTACATAACAAAACTTGGTTTGAGCGCAGAGAAGTAAGGAACCTTACTTACATTACTTCCTTGTGGTTTGAGTTTGTTGTGTAGCTTGGTCAGCTGTTGAAAAATTATTAAGTCTTGTATAAGACTATCAAGGTCCAGCTTGGCGTTGAAATATAGTTCGGAAGCATTCTTGCAATAAACCGCTGAATTATCTACGGGCTTTTTTTCTAAAGGAAAATATGTAGCATTTAACCATCAATAATGTAATTTAATGATAAATTATACGAATATAATGTTAACTAGTGTAATATTGTTAACTGCTTTTATGAACAAATTATTTAAAACATCAATTCATAGGCTAATTTATAAAAATAATATGTCGGACCACGTGGTTGTTTAAATATATGTGACAAACCGTTTTGACTCAATTATGCGACTTATTTTCTTTTTCCTGTTTTAATTGTGCAGATTAGTTTGTATGGTGCTCAGTCCCATAATTGACAAATTTTCGTACTCAAACCTTCAATTTAAAATTAAGGACAAGCCTGGTAACACAATGCTACTAATTGGAAAGTGGGGAGTCAGGCAATTTAGACAAAAGCGACATCGACGGACAACAGGCAATACAATACAGATGGTTCTGACAACAGTGTCAATTGATGCTGTTCCTATCATAAATATTGATGACATTTGGAATTCGGATATTATAGTAAACAAAACTGTATGATGAAATTTGAGCTGCAGTGAAATACAGTTAGATTATCCCAGTAATTTATTAAGGAATCACTAATTCATTAACCAATCCTTGATTCATTAGGTGGTATATAGCCCTTGGGATCCCATTATAGGCTTAGAAGCAGACTGGATTGAATCAATGATACTTGTCCCTAAGTAGTGCCTAGCTGACCGTAGCAACTCGTATTGTCCTTCGCCCAATGCCCGTTTGTTTTTATTTAAATATTTAGTAGCAAATAAGCTTCGTAACTTAAAAAATATATTTAACCAATCAATTTAATTCGATCTTTATGTGAGAATATTTGGTTTGATATTTTAAACTATGAACAATAAACTATTTCTGAAAACTTCGAGTCAATACACCTTTTATGGGTGTGTTTTAGCATATTAACTAAAAGTTACAACTTTTCAATCTTGTTTTTTACCCACCAATCTAGTAAAACGAGAAATGTATTTGTTTGTAATAGTCGATGAAACAAAAAGTATGTTTTACAAGAATTTTTTCAGTAAATAATCTCAGCAATAATAATTTCAGCAATCGTTTAGCATAAAAACTCGTAAGAATACCATCATATAGGGTGGGGCAGGGAAATATCCCTACTTTTAAGATGGTACTGTGAGTAGTGGGAGTGTGCTGGAGGAATGGGGTTAGGCTCAAATGAAGCTTTTGTTTTGGGAATTTCTAAAAATATCACTATCAGTAGTAGATATGGCTTGTTCGAGTGACCAATGTGCTTTTGCAATCGAGATGTATTTTTTCAAATATCTGTCTATTGTTGCTGTGCAGCTACATTGGCTGTCGGGTTATCGGGTGGCCTGTCGCAAAGATGTTACAATTAGGTGTGGGTGAATTACTTTCGTGTATGTGGTGGTGTATTGCGAAGGATATTTGGAGCTCAAAGAACGGTCCGGAGTCCTGAAAACACGGACCTTGTCAGAAGATCGATTTTGCAGTCTCCTCAAAGTTCTCCTTGTAAGCATGCATCCGCGCTGGCGTTGTCTAATCGTACTGTGCCTCGTATTCTCCATGAGGATCACACCTCCATCTATACAGGAGGGTAGTTGCTCATAAATTCACACAAAGGGACTGGCAACAACGAATGCAGGCATGTGAAATCTTAATTGCGGGACTACCTCATGCTGCTCGGGTTTTGTTTAGTGACGAGACACACTTCCATATTCCTGGAGCGGGTAAATAAGCAGAATGTGCTCTATTGGAGTGATGCTAAGCCTAGGGTAGTTCAAGGGAAGACCCTAGATGCCTTGAAGGATGCAATTCACCTTGAATGTTGCCTCTTTCCACAACACATGCTTCACAAAGTTATTATAAACTTCAGAACAAGAATACAGTAATGCATTTAAGATTAGGGACACCACTTGCAGGATATGCTGTTTAAAACCAAGTAAAGTTATATTAAAATAAACTCCCAGATGTAATCTTTTAATCTCAATAAAAAGTTTGGCTCTAACATTTTTGGTTGTCTTTTAATTTACCTTTAAAGTTAGGGATACTTCCCTGCCCCACCCTGTACTTTTAACTTTCATTAATGACCAACTGTCCTTTAAAAACAAATCTGCGGAGGTATTTCTTTGATATTCTAAATATTACTT